GAACAAACAGGAAAATGAAGGTGAAGACAACTGAGTTAGCTGCAGTAGCCAATATTTTAAGTTTCTTATGTTGACCTGGCTGACATAGTCGATTTAATTTTTGTTTTTTAAAAATATTTCTTTTAACTATTTTAGTTAAAAACAATTTTAACAAAAACAAACCTGATTTTAAAAAACGTGAATGTTTAATACATTCAAAAATTAATATGCTTGTTTTGTTAAAATATTATGTTTGCTGTTGAAGAAAAAAATCCAGAATACATAATGTTGTTGTTTTAGTTAAATAAAACAATTTAAATGTCTTTCTGGTGATGTTCTCCTCCTAATACAGCATGCAAGAAAATCCTCCAAATATTAATGCTTAACCTGTTGAATTGGAGATAGTTCACCTCTTAATGACTTTATAAATATCTGCTTCAATTACCCTTTGGTAAATGAAATAACCAAACAATAATTCATTTTCTGATATAGCTGTAAAACTAATCTGAAAAGTTTTCAAAATAAATCACTGTTTAAAAATGTATAGTTTGTACCTTCTAAAAATGAAACCTACATCTATCTCTGAGTTGTGAAGAATATGTATTAAGATTATAACAACCAACAAGAATGCACTTTTATGTAGAAATCTATGATTAAATCGAGTCTTCCTGACTAAATCAAATCCACCCTTCTGCTTAGTAAGACATGGTCATGGAAGAAGAGGAAAGACTTAAATAACTTGGAGAAATTTAACCTTGGAGAGAAGATACTAGAAACCCTGAGAAATGTATCTGAATAATATACTCCTATTGGAAGAATCTCTAATGTTACAGCAATAGGATTTGTGTGTACTTACAAAATTAATGTAGATGAGTGACAGTTTTATTCAATCTTTCAAATGAAAAAAAGCTTAATGTCTGGTGGTGCAAATATTTTCAGTCTATAGAATACTTAGGTGTGTGCTTGAAGGCAGAGCAGAATGTGTGAAGATTTGCTGAGGGGCTCGGAGGGTATGTCTACACTGCAACTAGACACCTGTGGCTGGCCCATGCCAACTGACTTGGGCTTGTAGGTCTTGGGCTTTAGGGTGTTTGAAGTGTAGGTTTCCGGGCTTGGGCTGGAGCCCAAGTTCTGGGAAACCTCGCACTTCATAGGGTCCAGCCCAAGCCTGCAAGTCTACACTGCAGTAAAACAGTTCCACAGTCCAAGCCTGAGTCTGCTGACACAGGCCAGCCACAGGTTTTTATTGCAGTGTGGACATACCTTGAGAGGAGAAGTCTCTTCGGAGAAAGTGAATGATTTGTCTCTCGTCTTGAAGCATGAGGAGTCCAGAGGGGGAAGTATATATTTGTTACTTTGCATCTGTTCCATTCACCTACTTCTTTCTGAGAAATTCTGGTTAAGGAAGGCTAGCATCAATACTACATCAAGAATCCATTATCCAGATTAGTTACTTTTCTAATAATTAACTCTATTGAAGCATCTATTTAGTTTAATATTTTCCACAAGCTGCCTTGTTCCTTGTAGTTTCCTTACTTGGGTGGTTGGGGAGAGAGATGGGGACTGAATGCCTTGTGGTGTTCTATAGCTATTTTTCTAGCTGATCTTTTACTTAGTGGTATAGGTGGGCTTTGAAGAGAATCCCATTCAGCTCTTGGCTGAAATTATGGTGGCAATGTTGGTCCCCAAGGCTGAAAGTGAGAGTAAAAGTGGGAAGATGCTTAGGTTTCCAACAGATCCATAGATAATCCAGCCCCTTGCAGGAAAAAAATAAGTTGTGTGCTATTTTAACAGGCTGTTAGTTCTACAGAGCAAATATTTAATCAATAGAACATGAAAAGAATGATCTGCCTATTTCTATTAACATTTTTCTCTATATATTTCATAATTTACAAGTAAAATTATTCTCTCTGAAAGGAAGGCTTTCAGTTTAATCTATGTACAGCAGTGCTGTATATTCAGAATATATGTTGTCTGTATATCTCATCAATATTTCTTGAGGGTGGTTGGTCTTTATTTTTCATTTTGCCAAATACACTGGTTATAGTTGATGTTGGGCTGTTTGCTCAGTGATAAAGGATGGATTGCCATTGTGATGGGTTCGGTCATAGAGATCCCCTTGGGACTGTCACCTGATGTGCTGAGACTACCTCTGAGCCCGTTTTCTCTGCCAGTTTGGGCTTCCAGAACCCTGCCTTTTTGAGCCAGACACGCCAGTCTGCTCCAACACAGACCCAGCATCTGAACCATGCCCCCCAAAGCTGCAGACTTAACTGAAAAGAGCTTAGCAAGTGCTCCTGTATCTAGCACCCAGCTCCCAATGGGATCCAAACTCCAAATAAATCCGTTTTACTCTGTATTTAGCTTCTACAGGGTAAACTCATAAATTATCCACCCTCTATAACACTGATAGAGCGGTATGCATAGCTGTTTGCTCCCCCAGGTATTAATTACTTACTCTGGGTTAATTAATAAAATCACTTTTGCTTATTAAGTATAAAAAGTAGGATATAAGTGGTTCCAAGTAATAACAGACAGAACAAAGTAAGTTACCAAACAAAATAAAACAGAACACGCAAGTCTAAGCCTAATACAGTAATAAACTGAATACAGGAAAATCTCACCCTCAAGATGTCCCAATAAGCTTCTTTCACAGACTAGACTCCTTCCTAGTCTGGGCCCAATCCTTTTCAGACTAACGTTGTGGTTTATGTGGGTCCAGCAGTCACTCACACCCTCTTAGTTATAGTCCTTTGTCCCAGTTTTTTTCAAGCATCTCTTTGGGGTGGAGAGGCCGTCTCTTGAGCCAGCTGAAGACAAAGTGGAGAGGCTTCAAGGGCCTTTTATATTCTCTCTCGTATGGGCAGAAACCCCTTTGTTTTTCTGTGCAAAGTCACTGCAACAAGATGGAGTTTGTAGCCACCTGGGCAAGTCACATGTCCATGAATGATTCAGCTTTTTGCAGGCTGACGCCATTGTTTACATGTTAGTTTGAACATTCCAAGAAAGCTCAGATGTGGATTGGCATCTCCCAAAGTCCATTGTCAGTTAAGTGTTTCTTGATTGGGCACTTACTGAGAATAGTCCTTTCTCAAGAAACTGACCAAATGCTTCACTGAGGCTACTTAAAATCAAATACATTGAGATACAAGTACATAGCCAATATTTGTAACGTCAAATACAAAAATGATAGACTTACAGACAGCATAAAACAGCGAATTATAACCTTTCTATAGACGCCTTACTTGACCTCCTTTGTACAAGATTTGGTGCAACTATAGGACGTTGGTTGCAACAATGATCTACATGGTCACAGTTCATGTCAGTAACGTCACAGCCATGTTTAATGTCTCAGTGATGCTTGTTTTTAATCTTCCCTCTCTATTTACGTAACTCGATGCTTTCTCAGCTCATAGGATGGAGGTATTGTGGGAGTAACTATACACTATCTTTTATATTTCAGACATTATAAGAAACGTTGTCAAGGTCGGATGCGGAAACATGTTGGTGATCTGTGTCTACAAGCTGGGATGTTACAAGATTCCTTGGTACATTATCATATGGCTGTGGAACTTCTGCGGTCTGTAAATGACTTTTTGTGGCTTGGAGGTAGGCTTAATTGATGCTGATAAAACACAAATGATTTAAGATTCTGGTACAAAGCAAATGATGGTAGCTTTTTGTAGCCTTTCTGCTGCAATATAAAAAGGCAGCAATTAAATGCACTTAAAAAGACACTTAAAAAAAGCCAATAAAATGTGACTTGAAAATCAAGCCAAAATAATTAGTATGTGACTAAGAATGCAAGGAAAATACTGTTTGTTATAGAAAGTGAAAATTTAGCATATTTGTAATATAAAATATGTGCTTCTGTAGCATAACTTCATTATGCATGACTTATTTAATAGCTGTTTTTAAAAAGGTTATTTTAGTCCTTAGGTGAATAGGTGTGGGGGAAAAATGTTTCAAATGCTACCTGTATGAGGCATAGTAAAGATTGGATGAAAAAATGTATGCCTCTGTGGCTGCCAAACCCACATATATTTAACTTACATTGACATACCTTCACTCCTTTCACCTCATGCAAAACAGTTTTGGCCCCTAGGCTTCATCTCTTTGCAGGCCTCTTTTTTTTCTTGTGCTGCTGTTGCTTTTCTCCTAGGTGCACAAGTGGTCATTGGACGCTTAGCTGCTGATTCTCGTTCCTCCATAGAATCACAGAAGTGTAGGGACCTCAATCCATCATCTAGACCAGTCCCCTGCTCTCAAGGCAGGACTACGTAATAACAAGACCATTCTTGACAGATGTTTGTGTAACCTGTTCTTAAAAATCTCCAATTACGGAGATTCCACAACCTCCCTAAGCAATTTGTTCCAGTGTTTAACTACCCTAATGGTTAGGAAGATTTTCCTAATATCCAATCTCAACCTCCATTGCTGCAATTTAAGCCCATTGCTTCTTGTCCTGTCCTCAAAAGTTAACGAGAACAATTTTTCACCCTCCACCTCATTGTAACAACCTTTTATGTACTTGAAAACTCTTATCATGTACCCCCTCAGTCTTCTCTTCTCCAGACTAAACAAACCCAATTTTTTTCAATCTTCCCTTATAGGTCATGCTTTCTAGACCTTTACATCATTCATGTAGGGAAATCACTAGCAGCTCTTGTTGCTCTGCTATTTGCTTCTCCTTCCGCTCCTCTTAAGATATGTATACACTTTGAGCTGGAGGTGTAAATTCTGGTGCAAGGAGCCATACACATGCTAGATCTGATCAAGCTGTTGTGCTAAAAATAGTGTAGCTGCAATGGTGCAAGTGGCAAAAGTGGCTAGCCACTTCGAGTATGTAGCCATCCAAGATGCTAGGTATGTACTTGGGGTGGCTGTCTGCTCACACTGCCATACCTACAATCTATTTTTAGTGCACTAGCTTGATTGGAGATAGCATGCGGTATGTATCCTTAAGCTGGAATTTGCACCTCCAGCTGAGCGTAGACATACCCCCACAGGCACATCTTTGAGTTATTTTACTTCATAGGTCTTTTGCAAGAAGGGAGCCATCAGCTTCAGCCACTCTACTTCCTGTCTTTTTTCTTCCACTCTTGAGAAAGGAACAACGGTGCTTAGAACGTTCTGTTCTAGCGTGGGAAGGAGCCAGACAAAATTTTTATTCATGAAGGGTGCAGTGGTATATATGTAGCCATACACATGTTACGCGTGATGTGTACCATGGACAGTGGCAAGGAGGAGCAGGGCTGGCCGCCCCACTGCCCAGACAAGTGTGGCCCCTCCTTTATGACAGAGATTGCTGAAAGCATCATGATGGAGAGCTCCATGGGGCCAAAATCGAGAGAGTTGCATTGTTGCCCCTGTGCACTGAAGTTCAGCACTACCGTGGTCCCGCCATCGTGATGGAGGAGCTGCAGAGCCAAACCTGGCTGGACACACTGAGCAGTGGGGTTGACAGTACTGGTCCTCCTTGCCGCTGCTGTGGGGCCGGCTTCTGTACCAGGGCTCCCCCCTGGGGGCCTGCCTGGCCTTGCTCCATTTCCAGCAGCCCATGTTCCTTCTCAGGGATGGGGAATGAGATTGCAGCTGGGTGGGAAATGCTTGAAGGGGACCGAGTGTGGTGTGAACTCAGTAGGTGAGCGGGGATGGCTTTGCGGGGGTTGACCCCCATGGAAAAAATTTCTGTGGGGGCCCCTGGCAGAGTGAGGTTTTTGAGGCTCTATTTATAGGATTATAAATTATAATACTTCATATCATGTGATGAATTGATTCTCTGTTAATTAAATATATTTCTTTATCTTTAATCTCCAGCTGCTCTTGAAGGTTTATGCTCAGCATCAGTTATCTATCACTACCCTGGTGGCACAGGAGGTAAAGCTGGGGCTCGTAGGGCACAAGGTAGTTCTCTTCCCGCTGAGGCAGGCAACAGACACAGACCAGGTAAGCCTTAAACAGGGCTTCTGTTCTGACTTCCCCCCCAGAGGTTTAGTAATGGGAACCCTTAATCTATAGTCTTCCCTCCCCTCCCCCATGTGTAATAAGAATTTCACACAAAGGTAAAAATGGTATTAAACTGAACTACATTTCTTTTTTGTGAGAAGATTTATTTTTTATGATAAAAATCCTATGGTTTTGTAGTGATATTAAGAAATGTGCTTACCCAGAGATAGAATTTGTTCAAAATTTCTCTGGTTGTGTGTTAAGATTTGGTGAAAATCATTCAGCAGAGAAAAACACAGGCAATTTTCAGAAAATATATAAATGGTGTGAGAGGGATATATGAATTGATAAGGATAAGAAGGGTATGTTCAATATCCAAGGCTTTTGGTGTTCTTTATTCAAGGACTTGTTTGGAAAACCGTATCACTTTGTTTAAAACTTTGCATATATACTCTGCCAATAATGCATGTTTCAAAGTAGCAGCCGAGTTAGTCTGTATCCGCAAAAAGAACAGGAGTACTTGTGGCACCTTAGAGACTAAGGGTAGGTCTACACTACCCGGTAGTTCGGCAGCAAGCAAATCGAACTTCTGGGTTCGACTTATCGCGTCTTGTCTGGACGAGATAAGTCGAACCTAGAAGTGCTCGCCGTACCTTAGTTCGAATTGAGGGGTTAGTGTAGACCTGCCCTAACAAATTTAGGTGCCACAAGTACTCCTGTTCTTTTTGCCAATAATGCATGTTACTTGTATGAATTATAATATTCTAATATTGAATTGTAATTCATATCAATTTTAAACAAAGACCATTTAATAGGTCTTTTATTAAAATAATGTTGGTTGTAAAATTAAACACCAGTCAGGAAACTGACAACTTGCCATTGAAAGGCTTTAGTATGCTTTTTGTAAATACTTTAATTGTATAGCTTTTATGAAATAGGTTACCTTCCTTGGAGAGAGTGCCTACTTGCTATTTAGAGTTAAACAAGGGAATGGGGATTTTTTTTTTAACAGCTGACCATAAATTTTTTTTTAAATTGTGATCAGAACTAATTCCATCTTGTAAAAATAGCTTTACTTAATATACATATCAAAACTGGCAAACATTTATTTTGCATTTTCAAAGGATGAATTACAAATTATATGTATTGACATTTCAACTTTATAGTAAAAGAGCATGTTTCAAAAGATTACACCAGGTATTCATGTAATTTAAGTAAATAAGGTTTTGTTATGGGACCTCAGTGGTTCTCAAACTTTTGTACTAGTGACCCTTTTCACGCAGCAAGCCTCTGTGTGTGACCCCCCCCTTTATAAAGTAAAAACACTTTTTTAACATTTAACACCATTATAAATGCTGGAGGCAAAGCGAGGTTTGTGTGGGAGGCTGACAGCTTGCGACCCCCCCCCCGTGTAATAACCTCCCGACCCCCAGTTTGAGAACCCCTGTGTTAAAATGAATCTTACAAGTTGGACAAGATGATATCTCACTCATCAAGCACACAGTTGTAGCTCTCTTCGCTTCTCAGCAAAGATTTAATAGTAGATGTTGCAGTCAGGTCTCGTTATTAAAACTTATTTTTACAAAAGTATATTATCATAATTAAGTGATAGTTGTCAGAATAACTGAACAAAATACATTTTGTGATTTATTACTACTTTCTTTTTGTTTTGTAATTTAATAATTTGCAGCGTCTTCCAGTCACTTCTGCAATTTGTATATTTAATACATTGTTAAATATAAACTTCTTAAATTTCTTGTTAAAAGCTTTTCCATAAGCCACTCTCTGCATCAAGTAAAAAATATTATTCATAGAGACAACTAGTATTTTAATTGTCTGTTCTCTTCACTCCATACCTTTCAGGAACACACATCTTAATCTAGAGCTGTTATTTTACAGTCCACATTATAGCTCCAGTTATTACAACTGTTATTTTGGGGTCTAAATAGTTAGTTTCTAATCTTTGTTGGAACAGCAACTATATCCTGATACCAAACCATCTCTCCAAAAATATATATAAAGGTCTGATTACAACACAAACTTTATACCCATTTTTGTATCTTTCTCCTGTAAGGTTTTCTGATTGTTTTTTCCTCTTTAGTACATACTGTTTGTGCAACTCCCCTCTGTCTGAAGTATCTTACTTTTTCAGTTGCATTTCTGTTTGATTTCTTACATTTTTAAAAGTGACAAGTAAAATAGCATTAGGTATAGAAAATTAATTCCAGTTTTCCTGTAGCTTTTAAATCTCTAGCTTACCTCTCTGGTCTAGAGGCTTAGAATCAGTTTAAGGAAGTACAAGCTATCGGATAAAGAACACAAATAATTTGGGGCTATTGAGCCCTCATTTCACATTTCAATTACCTTCTCCAAGGATAAGAGCAACAAGATGCTGTATCTATTAAAAAAAAAAATCACTTCTCTCAAATTCAAACTCCTTTTACCATATATTTAACATAAATGGTTTGAGTTGTTGGGTAGGCCTTACACAAAACATCCCATATTAGAATCTCATGGAATACCTCTAAATCTGAGAGGTAGGGAGCATTTCTTTCTGCTACCCAACCTTGACTGAAGTCTACCACCAACATGCATTCACAGTTTCTGAAGAGCCATGCTCTGTGATGGTAGAGTCATTAACAAAATCTCAAAAAAAAGGGATGATCTTTTTAAAGCAAGTCAGAAGACATTAAAAAAGTATAAGTCTTAATGGTAGTAATTGTGTGTTAAATACTCTACAAGCACTTGTAAATAAACTGTTATGGAAGCTTGCTAACCAAAAAAAAAAAGTGTGTGTGCGCGCGCACGGACGGACGGACTGAAAATTAAGATCTACTAGGATTTGACTTTAAAATATCAATAAAAATCGAAGAAAAATATTACTTGCTTTTGGTTTGGTCTTAGAACTGATCATAACTGTTTTTTTTTTCAGAATATATTTTTTTAAAAAAGGACATTTAATATAGGTACAGGATATGGTAAATATGTTGTATGACTTCAAGTTAATCAACCATTGTTATAACAGCAATGTCTGTGCTGGATTTTAATAATTTTCCTGTAATTTTGCTCATGACTGATGATAGTTGTAAAATATATATTGCAATAGCTTACTTTATGTTGGCTATATTTTTAAGGCTGAAAAAAATATTTTTTTTCCCTCCTCCTAGGGGCCCAAGAAGTTCTCATTGACCCAGGTACTTTGTCTTTTTGCTTGTTTTCTGACAGTAAGCTTTGTTTGTTTTTGGTTTTATTAGTTGTTTTGCATCTGTGCGGATGATTACAGCTAAATGTTCAAAATTGGTTCAGACTTTGTGCCTCAGTTTTTGGTATCAGTTTGATAAAGCGTGGGCCTGATTTGACTCTTAGTTTTGTGGGTGTTCAGCACTTCTTAAAATCAGGCCCAAGATGTATCAAGTCACTTATCCAAAACTTGATAGGCATTTTTAAAAATTTGAACCTGTGACTTTGTCATGATCATATGGATTTTGGAGAACACGGTCTAAATAACATCAGAATGGCTAGAAAGCTGGCTTAACTGTCTCTTTCCATTTACTTACAAGAACAACTTGATTTCCTCCCCCCCTCCCCCCCCCAGTTACATTTTTAGTAATGCTGTGAGGTAGTGGTCTTAATGCCTTTTTCTAGAGCAGTAATGTTGACTTCACTCTGTTCTAAATACAGTGTCTTCCCAGCATTCTTAGGCCTTGTCTACACTACGAGAGTAGTTCGATTTTACTTGCATCGAATTTTTGTAATCGATATTGCAAAGTCGAACGTGTGTGTCCACACTAAGGACAGTAATTCGACTTTGTGCGTCCACACTAACGGTGAAAGCGTCGACATTCGAAGCAGTGCACTGTGGTCAGCTATCCCACAGTTCCCGCAGTCCCCTCTGCCCATT